TTGCTTAGAGACAGGAGCTTAGACACGCACGATCCCATTCAGTCCTCATGGCTCCCAGCAGAAGGGTCCATCTCTTCACTTTTCCCAGAGGCCACAGAGCCAGCAAACGACAGCTGTGGGATTTGAACCAAGTTCACATACAGACGTACAAGCTCCTGTACTTATTCCAGGATAGGCCAGTCAGTGCTTAGAAACTTGGCTCCTCTGGACTTCTGTCCAGCAGCAGCAGTCTTAGGGGAGTCATCCCAGCGAGGTCAGTCCAGGGCAAACCTGCCAATGCCATCTCTCCCGGGTGCTGCACCCCCTACCCCCAGACATACTTGGAGAAACAACGGGGGAGTGTCTAGTTCCTATCTGTGGGCTCTTTCTGTTCCTAAGCATCCTTACATACTACAGGTAAAGCTGGTCACATGATCATTCACATGACCCTCGCAGTAACTGAACTCAAAAGCAATATAAAATGAATGACCGCCCAGCAGTGCTCTGGAGAGAAGGGACAGAGGCAGCCTGTCTTCCTCAAGTGTCCCCACACACTGGGCATCGCGTCAGAGGGGCACTATGCCACATAAGGAAGAGGAGGAGCTGCTTGGTCAGAAAAGGCTGTTGGACTCCTGCCGCCGTCCCAGCAGGGACACCCTGGACAGGTCACCTAACCTCTCTCTCTACTGGCTGCTTCCTTATCTGTAAAGTGATGTTAATAACTTCGAGTACTAAGAGTTACTGGGAAAATCAGAAGGAAAGGCAAACCAAACACAGAGCTCCAGGCGCAGCACGCAACAGGCACTTGGTGTCCTTTGCCTGCCTCAGCTCCTCAGCATTGCTGTAGAGCAGTGGTTAGAGACGGAGGGACCGGCACTAGGCTAAGATGAGCCAGCTACTAAGAGCTCATTCCAGAACAGCCCCAGTGGGGATCTGTGCAGCGGAGCCTTGAGTGCGGCAAAGAGAGGACCCAGACAAGGCATCTGGTCCTTGGGAGCGACTGCACACTCTCAGGGCTGGCTTGGACATCAGATTTCAACCAGACTCTCCAAGACTCCATCCTCAAAGCCTAGTTGTTTTCTTTCTCTCTTTCTCTCTCTCTCTCTCTCTCTCTCTCTCTCTCTCTCTCTCTCTCTCTCTCTCTCTCTCTCTCTCTCTCTCTCTCTCTCTCTCTCTCTCTCTCTTTCTCTCTCCAAGACAGGGTTTTCTGTGTAACGGTCTTGGCTGTCCTGAAACTCACAGAGATCCATCTGTCTCTGCCTCCCGAGTGTTGGGATTAAAGGCGTGTGCCACCACATCACCGCTTTAGGCATTTTCTTATAAAGGAGAGAAAAGAAGAGAGACAGAGAAAGAGAAAGAGAGAATAAATGAACAACCCCACCCCCAATCCCTTCAGTCCCAGGTAAAACTGAAAGCATATGAGTGTGTGTGAGCATACACACACATATGCATGTGCTCATACACAGTGTCACAATGCTCTCATGAATATATATGTGCACTGAGAAAAGAGAGATCGGAAGCTAGTCACTTATGTTTCTAACTCCACACTTGGTGCTTGCTGTACGTCCGATTCCAGAGTGGAGAGTGCTCAGTAAGCGCTCTTCTCAGGGTAACTTCTCACACAGTGCCTGGGTCGTCAGCTCTCAAGGGCCTTGTGCAAAGGCTACTGCACATCACACTGCAAACAGGCAGATAGCTTGAAATGTGGGTTTCCTTCCTCCACGGTCCTTCCAGCCTCTTCCTACTTTGGTTTAGCCCACTTGGTAAAGACTCAGATGTCCATCTGAAGGGGCTTTCTCCTGCTCTGCTTGGCCCTAGTCATGCCAGTCAACCAAGTCCTGGAATCACAAAGCAACTCCAGGGGGCAGAGGGTGTGGCTCAGTTGGTAGAGCACTTGACTAACATGCAGAAAGCCCCGGGTTCGACCCCCCAGAATCACATCAACTGTCTTGGCTCCTGAGAGTTCATTGCCAACCTGTGATACATGAGATCCTGTCTCAAAAATTTAAAAAAAAAAAAAATAAGGGCTGGGGAGATGGCTCAGTGATTAAGAGCACTGCCTGTTCTTCCCGAGGACCTGGGTTCTGTTCCCAGCACCCACATGGCAGCTCACATCGTAACTCCAGTTCCAGGGGATTTGATATCTTCTTCTGGCCTCTGTGGGGACCAGACACACATATGGTGCACAAACACATATGTAAACAAAACAAACACACACACACAAACATATACATGTTTTTTTGAAAAGCAAATCTTTAAAAATTAAGCAAATAAATTAATATTTCAGAATTCTTAGGTCTACCTCTTAGGACTCTTCATCCTCATTTGTCCCAAATAATGGCCTTTAATTGTAATTAACATTCTTACATGTTCAGTAAGCCTGTGATCTACTGAGACCACCAGCTTTTCCTCTCTTAGCACATCTGTTGGCTTTACTGAGATCACCAGGCTATGTCCGGCTTCCTATACTCTGGAGCACTCCTTACACTCTGCAGGAGAATGGATCCAAATGGGTAGAACCAACATTTCACCTTTTCTTGTCAAGTCTGACTCTACCCTACTTCTTTTTTCATAGTTATAAATCATAAGCAGTCATGTGACTGAGGTCTCCAGGATGAAAATGGAGACTGGGGTGGTTAGGAAGCAGAAGGGGGCAGCTTCTTGCGTGGCCCTGTTTCTCCCCATGAAGATGTCTGAGCAGAGCTGGGCGCTCCAGGGAGGTGTAGTTCACAGGGCAGTGTCCTCAGGAGCTGCTCCAACACTGGTGTTATATGACTCCTTTGCCGGACTCCAGGAACGCACCTGAACACGCTGTGAGCCTCTACGGTTTCTAGCTCTGCCATATAGGAATGCTTTAAAGGTTAATACAGTGTTTGTTTTTCAAGGTTCAGGGCAAGACCTAACTGGTTTTACTTAACAATGAAAAGGGAAACTTCTATTAGTATGAACTCCCTGATGCTCACCATCCACTTACAGGCTTGGCAATCACCATTCCTATCTCATGGATGGGGCAGCCAAGAAGCAGCCCAGTAGGAGAGCTGATTTCTTTCATCAACCATCCAAGCAGCTCACTCTCCCACTGACTCATTCATTTCTTCCTTATTTATTAAACACTCCTTATGTACTTGGTACTGGATGGAAAAAAGTGATTGACTCTGCACTTGAGGAGATTAACATGGAAGACATGAAACAAGATGAACCCATAAATTTAACAGGGGTTAGGAAGTGAGGCTGTTTTTCCTACAAAGGGCCAGGTAGTGTGTAAGTTAAGCTCCACAGGCCATGCGCAGTCTCTATTGAATATCCCCTTTCAGCTTGCTTTCCATTTAAAAGCCTGAGTCCTATTATTCAGCCCAAAGGCTCTCCGCAAGGTGTGTAAGCTAGCTTTTAGTTCAATCGGCTCAACTTTTGTTTCAGGAGGGTTTTTCAGGGACACTGGAGCCATGAAGGATGGCTCACTCTGGATGGAGGTCATGCTGTTGTTACACATCACCCGGCTAGTCGCAGAGCAGAAGTTTTCTGGGTGGTCACTGTCATCTAGGAGCTAAAAGAAAACACCAACTTTCTGGTCCACAGTGGTTCTCAGACTTCTGCGTGCATCAGCATCACCTGGAGAGTCAAACCACTGCCTAGTCCCACCCCCAGAGTTCAGATGTGGCTGTCCGGGGGCCAAGATGGAGAGAGACTGCGTGAGCAAGCTGGGATGATGAACCAAGACCCAAGAGATAAGGGGAGCCACCATCTGGGACAAGAGGCTTTGTGAGACACCAGAGAGGGAAGTTGAGTCCTGCAGCTGAGGGAGGCTCCTCCCTCTCAGGAAGGCTCCGAGTCTCCTTGGGCAAGGCTTTGTGGGGGGCATGTCTGGAACGATCTTCCCTTCAGCGTCTGGGATGTTGGCACTCATCCCGTCTGGTTCCTCAAATATTTGCATATTTTAAGCCACGCCCACAAAACAGCTCCTGTGTGATCTGCCTTTGATCAGTTAGAGAACTAAGGGCAGTACTTCTAGGTTAGCATTTACACAAAAAGGATTCTTCAAACAAACAAACAAACAAACAAACACACACAAAACAAAACCCAGATGTGGTGCTCAGAGAGGAGGTCGGGGAGAAAGGAGCCAGAGTGAGCACACAGAGGCATCTCCGAGGACTGTGGGCATCCACACACACGAGAAGTCATTAATCTGATAGACAATGAATGGCAAAAGGCAATTAGCTCGCCTAGGGTCGTAGCAAGCCAATGAGGTATGCAGCAAGGCTTTGGAGGGTCTAGTGGAAGGGCAGGGTCATTGCTGGGGAACTGAAAAGGAGGACGAGGCAAGGGGGGTGGGAAAGCCACCCGGGGTTACCATGAAAGGAAGGTGCTCCGCACTAACATCAGACCTCGGACTCATCCAAGAATGGTCCTTGGCAGGCTCTACCCACTGTTATGCTTGAACACAATCTTAAAAATGAACTAGGTGCTTCAGTTGTGTGCACACATACACATGTGCGCGCGCACGCGCGCGCGCGCGCACACACACACACACACACACACCCCTCATCCACCTGAAAGTCTAACCCAGCAGAGGGACAGGCTGAGGACTGCCTGGCTGAGCAGGACACTGATGGAGTTAAAGAGCCAGCTCCAAACTTCAGCTTGAAGACCTCCCCTCCACATTCCACAGCATGCTTGTTTTCTCTGCCACATGCCTCATCCACATGCACTTTCCCACGTTCTGGTTTTTGCAGACACTCTAGAAGCCATGCGAACGGATTCTTCCTTTCTAGACACATTCCTTGCTCACCCTCAGTCATCCGCACACGAGACACCACCTTCTGCACCTATAAATCACTTCAAATGTCTAAGTTGCTCCTATAGCTTCTGTCTGCGCTGTCTGCAGGGCCCTGCCAGCTTCGCTGTTCTTACAGAAAAATTAGAAAAAAAAAAATTCAAGAGAGAGAGAGAGAGGAAAAAAAAGGAAAATGGACCAATATTGGCTTGACTGCATAAAGGGCCCAACCCAAAGCAGATTGTCCTACCGTGGGGTGCAGGTTTGTGGCTGTGGTGTCCCCGCCTTCAAGACCATCCCATTTATCTCTCTTTGTTCCACTCCCTCTCTCCTCCTGCACAACGCTGCAATCACACACATACTCTGGGTTGGGGGGGGGGGGGAAGGACAGCCTAATTTCCTGATGATTATGTTGTTACCTAGCAACAGCCAATCAGGAGCCTTGCTTTTTGTCTGCAGTATTTCATGCAAATAGTTTGGAGAAATTGCAGGGTAACACAGGCTGCTTAGTCTGTCTTCTCAGGGGACACATTACAGAACACAACCAACCCAAAGGGGGGACTACTGGAGCCAGGCACGTGTGTGAGAGTGCAGGCCATCTGATCTCCACACTTACCCTTCTGCCTGGTGCAGAAAAGCATAGTTCTCCAGAGACAATCCTGGGGCCCAAAACTTGGGAGAGTGGCTGAGCAGCAGCCATCCCGACCCTGGACCAAAGCTGATGATCTGGTCCAGAGCCCACTGACCCCAGAGACCCCTTGCTTGCTTCCCAGCCAGGCAGAGCAGTCTCGTGCAGTGGGTTTGTCTATGGAGGGATGAATGTTCACCCATTCACAGTCCAAGAGACTGCTGTACTCCAAAGGGCGGTGACAATTCCCCAGGGTCACCATGTCCACAGCCTCACCATCCACAGCCAGATTTTGGAACCAAAGAATCTCCTTCATTTGCTGGTGGAAAAGTCTTTTCTTACCCTAGTTCTCAAATTCCAGAAAATTCTGAGTCAGGTATTTTTATCCTCATAACCTTGGAATTCAATCCAAATTACACAGGTCAAGTGTCAAATCAGGGGACCGACAGGCAGGTCTGTGCTGTGTTCCCCAGTAAGTCTAGAATACTCCCAAGACCTAATAAAAGTAAAAGAGAATAAAGGGAAACAGCCACAGAAGGCTATTTTTCAAAGTGAAAAAAAAGTCATAAAAAAACCAAACTGTGATGACATGTGAAAGGCTGTCGCTTGAATCAATGCTGACCCTTCAGTGCCTCCCAGCACCACTGTCCATTAAGCCTGCAGGTGACCACAGCAGAAATGCCTGGGCCTGGACACCAATTCATTCATTCAGTCACTTATTCATTCACTCATTCATCCATGGCTCAGCAGCTAAGAGCACTGGCTGTTCTTACAGAGGACCCAGGTTTGATTCCCAGCACCTACATGGCAGCTCACAGTCCTCTTTAACTCTAGTTCCAGGGAATCTGGTGCCCTCTTCTGGCAGCACCAGACACACACGTAGTGCACTTGTGTGTGTGTGTGTGTGTGTGTGTGTGTATACACATTCAGGTAAAACATTCACAAAAACAAAATAAGCCTTTTAAAAAATAATTTTCTGGGGGGGGGGCAGCAATCCCCATTGTGTGTGAGCGTGTTGTGTGTAGGGCTGTGTGGTGTATGTACATGTGGGTGTCCATAGTTGTGTGTGGGCCTGCATGTGGAGGCTAGCGGTGGAGTTGAATGTCTTCCTCCACTGCTCCTCACCCTGTGTCTTCTCAGGCAGGGTTTCGCGATGAGCCCAGAACACATCCATGTGACCAGGCTGGCTAGCCAATGGTCCATCTCTGCCATCCGACCTCCCAAGCCGGCTTACAGATGCATACCACAGCATGGGTTATGTGGGTGCAGGCACTTTGTCCTCTGAGCCATCTCTCCGGCCCTCAGGGGCATTAATTCTTAAAAAGCCTCTTGGGAATAGCACAACTCACTTTGGAAAACAGACTGGCAATTTCTTTCAATTTTAAAAGTTTGTAGCTGACATGTAATAATTATACGTATTTATGGGGTACCGTGTAAGTTCTGTTCACATCAAATCAAGGTGATTAGTAGAACTGTCACCTCAAATATGTACTGTTTCTTACATTCAAAATTCTCTCTCTGAGGTCTTTTGGAACAGAGAATAAACCACTGTTAACTATGGTCACCCTACCAAGCTGTGGGGCACAAGAACTTAACCCCTTCTTCTACCTGTTCTCTCATACTCACTAAACCACGGCTCGGTCCCCCTCTCCCAGGCCCCTGCCAGCCTCCATAATCATGGTTCTACTCTCCATAAAATGCTCCATTTCCTACAAAAATGAAACACTCAGAATGACCCCATAAGCCAGAAATTCCATCCTAGAAATTGACTTAAGCAAATGAAAACAGATTTTCATAAGAAGTCTTGGCCAATTGTGTTCATAGTAGCCTCCTCAACATCAACCACAATCTTGTATACTTATGTAAGAGAACACTACGCATCAATGAACAAACCATTGATCAGCACAACATGGGAGAAGACCAAGAATCCTAGAATGGGGGCTGGAGAGATGGCTCAGAGGTTAAGCATGCGCGCGCGCACACACCGCTCTTCCAGAAGACCCAAGATCAGTTCCAGAACTCATGTTAGGTGATCTAACTCCAGGTGATCGGACCTTTGTCCTCCTTGGACACCCACACACTGCTGGCTCCCATGCATACACAGAGATAATAAAGTAATTATCTAAAACTACCGTCACAAATGAAAGGACACACAGATGTTAAGGGTTTAGTAAGGATCATTAAATGGGCACAAAAATACAATTCCCAGGAGGGTTAACTTCTAATGCTCTACAGCAACTAGGGTGACCACTGGAAACTTTAGTTTTGAGGAGACCTCGAAGGTGCCAACATGAAGAAAAGAAGAGATGTTCCATTTATATGAGTCTCTGTGGCAGAAAAAAAAATCAGACCGTGGTGGCTCCTGCAAAGCGTGTGAGGTGCAGGGAGTGTCTGTGGTGGTGCTGACCGGGGTTCTATCACTCAGTGTAGGCGCCTGTCAGGCTTAGAGAACGAAGCTCTTCAGATTGGAGCATTTAATCGTATGTAAATTTCACCTCAAAAGAAAAGAACCCACAAAACCTGAACTCTGCTGAACTGTTCAGGGATGAAGTGTTCAGAGTTCTGCAACTTAGTTGAAATAATGTTTTCTCCGCCCCCCTCTTTCTCTCTTTTGGCACAGGGTTTCTCTGTGTAGCCCTGGCTGTCCTGGAACTCACTTTGTAGACCCGCCTGGCCTTGAACTCACAGAGACCCACCTGCCTGTCTTCCTAGTGCTGGGATTAAAGGCGTGCGCCACTAGCCTGGCTGAAATATGTCCTTAAAAGGGGTATCAATGAATGGATAGAAGGATGGATAATTTGATAGTTAAGTAATGGTGCTAATCTGGTAAATGTTAGTTGTAGAATTTAGATAGGACATGTCTAATAACACATCTAATATCCATTGTACAAGCTTTGAGACTTTCCAATGCATCTAAACATTTTCATAAGGAAATCTCCAAGGTGATCCAGTGAATTTACAGGCACCGGGTAAAGAACATTTTTGGGCAATGTTTGTTGATGAGTGTGAACTGAGTAACATTAAGCTCGTCTATCTCCAGAGGTGACAGCAGTCACCCCTCAGCCCCCAGGACCTACACAGAAGCCGGCAACCAATGCTCGGGCTGAAATAAAACTTCCTGGAGTCAGGCTATGCCATGTGGAAACTACGGCCTGTTTTGCTCTGGACTTCTGCATGTCATTTAACACGTGGCCTCGTGAGGTGACACATTTGAAATCAAGACAGTTTTTTGAAGCATCTAAGTAATGTGCTTAATATACATCTCTCTGAATAAAACTCCTTATGCCAAACTGAGCAGGCATGGCAGCCCTGACGTCAGTATGGCTTAGGGAGCTCCATCTAGCTCCACTGCCCCGCCTCTGGTCTTTCAGACACTGCCATTTTCTGCACACACACACACACACACACACACACACACACACACACACACACACACACACTCCCCACCAGCAGCCACAAAGCCAGTACAGGGTCTGGCCCTCAGAGAGAAAGAAACCCATATGTGGCGCCATGAAGGGTCTGAATGGATAGTGATTCTCACGGGGCGGAAGAGTCGGGGCGGCCTAAGAGGGGAGCGAACACAGTCAAGTGCACTGTGGGGCCCCTGCTCCCCGAGGTGCCCCATTTATTCCGTTGTAATTGCTTCATTTCCACTAGTGGTGCATCCTCAAATGAGTTTCATTACTGGTGCCCGGGATATCATATTGATTACCAGTTTCATCGATTCCTATCTCGCTAATTAGCATATAAATTAGCCATTTGGGGGGAGGCATTAGGCAAAATTGAATTTTCTCCTTAATCTTCTTTCAGAAGGTAAATGAAAATAGATGTGGCCTGTTAAGGCCGGTGGCCTCTTTCTGACACCAAGTGTTGTTCACAGCCAGGAAGCCTCCCGTGGAGGGAGAGGAGGCTCATCGAAGAAGCCTTCCGCCCCTCCCCATGTAGCTGCAGTGGGAACTCCTTCAGAGCCAGTCAGCTTTGGAGCAGGCAAGCTCTGCCTGCTGACAGAGGCAGCATCCCTCCCACGGGGCCCCACATGAGGCAACCCCACGGAACTGGCCTCCAAGGCTGGGGTGGAGGGCACCACTCTGCTCTCGTGTTCCGAGAAGTGCGGGGTCAGGAGGCCAGCCCTGGGACATCTGCCTGGCCTCTTACCAGCTGGGTCCTCTCGAGCACTGAGCCTCTCTGAGCTTCGGTTTCTTGGTTTGGGGAACAGGGGTACAAGCACCCAGCTCCCTGGGTCACGGCAAAGATGGAGCGTGAATGTATTTGGAGCATTTATCCTGGGGCCCTGCCACTCGGCAGAGCTCATCATGCCGTTACCACCACCAGGGACCTAGAGGCCACACAGGAACCTGGGGACACCTGGTGCTGGGTGCAGAGATAAAACCCTGGCTCTGCTCATCGGGGAAGCAGGGGTAGGTGGCTTCCTCACTGGGGTGGAGATGCTTGGCAAAGTGTTCAGTAACATAAAGTGTAAGCATGACTTATGTCCTGCCTCTCCTCCACGAGGTCACACTGAAAGGGGGAGGGGGGCTTCACAGAGTTGGAACTGTCCAGGGCTGGGGCAGTCACTCCATGGGTGAAGTGCTCACTGTGCAAGGGTGAGGACCAAGTTCGATCCCCAGCACCTTGCACAAAAATGCAGGGCACGTTGGTGCACCAGTGGGGAGGCAGAAATGGGTGTGGGTCCCCGGAGCTCACTGGCCAGCTAGCCCTAGCCTAAGCGGTG